GCTCTTTTCAGATTCAAAATACCTTTGAGGAAATGTATTTTCAGATGCCAAGTAAACTGCATCACAGCGCACATAGCCCTCCCACCCAACGCCGACTGAACGGGACAGAAGCAGAAGGTGGTTCTTAAAGAGACAGAGGCCAATTTCAAGTTGTTTAGAAGAGGAAGTGATGAGAAGATAAGTTTATTTTCTATTTAAACATTAAAACAGCATTTTAATAACAACTAAAGGTGACATATATACTTTATTATGGTATAGTATTTAAATTAATGCCTGAGAAACACATAATATTGGCCCTTTAAATGTCAGTGGGATTTTTTATTTTACATTTTGAGTCTCACAATGCTGCTTTTGTTCAAGTAGTACGCTTCAACATGTGAGAACTTACAAATGAACGCTTCCAGTAGTGTGCTATGTCCTCCATGTTAGTGAGTGGGTTCAACAGGAAGTGGTCTCTCCACTCATTCCAGTTCACTGTCATGGTGCCGTCCTTATCCATACTGCACAGAGAGAAAATCAACTAGACACCGCAAAGCAGTAACATAGTGACCCCCGCACGCACAAATGCACCAGAACTCAGAAGTCTTTATTCCTAATAAATGTCATGCTACTAGGTGCATCCCAAAATTGTAGTGGTTTGGGTGGGGGGTCTTTTTTTGGGTTGGGGGGTGTGGGTGGTGTTTTGGACCTGATGGATAGCCCCTCATCAGAGCTAAACAACAGAAGAAATCTGAAGCTTCTATGTTGAACAGTTTCTGAGTTATGACCATTTTTGCATGTCCTGACACCCCTTCTTTGAAAGGAGCCCCCTCCTCAAATATGGGGTTTATTGTAAAACCGTTGGCTGATGCAGTGTAGGTCGGACTCTTCTACAGTCCTGCCAAATTTCATGTTGATTGGTGCAGCTGTTTTTGTGCTACAGTTGACCAAAAATCACTGAAAAAAAAAACAGTAAAGGTAAAGTAAAGGTAAAGGTGCTTTATTTGTCATCAGTGTATGTTTCCACACAATGACGAAATTGTGCTCTGCATTTAACCCATCCACACCCAAGTGGAGCAGCGGGCAGCCATGTGAGGCGCCCGGGGAGCAGTTAGGGTTAGGTGTCTTGCTCAAGGACACCACGACATGTGGGTATGGTGGGGAGTCGAACCTAAGACTTTCGGGTTCCAAGCCGGCTGCTCTACCACTACACCACAGCCGCCCCCACAGTACGAAAACAATATGACTCCCGCTTACGCTTCGCGTGCGGGAGTCATAACAAATACACAATAAAAGATATTGAATCAGTTTTCTCCTCAACATCATTATTCCTGCATGAATTCCTGCTGGAGGTTCCTCAGGCTGCACCAGAAGTGCTACAGCCAGATGCTGCTGTTTGCATTAGCAAACAACTACAGAATAACCATATGTAAAAATGACAGCGATATTAATTTAAAAACATTTTCATGAACAGGTACAAGACCTTTGAGTTTAGAATTATTTTCAGTCAGCAGTAACTTTATTCTTGACTTTGCTCAAACATTAGCTCATCATTCCTGTCAAAATGAGGTTGTTCATAAAGTGATCTACACCAAGAATAATAATAACTGTTTATGACATTTTGACCAAGCCTCTAATCAGAAACAAACTAGAGAAATTACATTGTCTGATAAATAAATACACAAATAAAAATGACTGTGATGAAAAGGCAGAAACTGGGTTGTTAAAGCTAAAAGAAGCAACACATTAATTAAATGTATTAAAAGGTTAGCTTAAAACTAAATTTGGCAAAGGGCTAAGTAAAAGCTAAAGGTAACAAAACAATAGCTAGATCCAAAGCAAAGGGCTAGCTAAAAGTAGTAAAAATGCCAGCTAAAAGCAAGAACAAGTGAGCTTAAAGTTAAAAAAAATCAAAATAAGTAAAAGGTTAAAAAGTGAAGTCGCAAAAGAGTAGCTAAAATCTAAAAATAGTATAAGAACAAAACAGAAAACGCATAAAAGACGCAAAATCTCCTGAATTAGCTGAATGTTGAAAGACAGGAATTATTTCAATAACACAAATATTTAGACGTTAGACCACAAAATGTTAAAAAGTAAAACAATGGTGAATGATGATTCAGCATCTCTATAACAGAAAGCTGATGACACTGTTCGTATTGAGACAGAAACACTTATAAGCAGCTTTATTTAGTTAAATGCAAAAGAAATAAAGTGAAATCTATTTTAGTTTCAGCTGAACTCAAAGCAACAAAGCTGCCATCTAAAACTGCTGACTGATTAGAAGTGTGTCCTGGAACAGAACCCTGTGGGGACAGAGTGGATTACAGACCTTAGTAAAATCCTGGTTGCATCCTCTAAGCTAATATTCACACCAATGGTGCGCAGGCAGTCCTGGATCTCTGCTGCATCTATTCTACCTGCAAACATCCAACATCCACACACACTAAGGACAAAGCAAATCAGAACGGCATGAGATACCAGTGGTGTTTATTATTCAGCTGACACATACCATCGTTGTTCCTGTCCAGATGACCAAACATCAGTTTAAGCTCTTTTTCATGATTACTGAGATATTGGATGAATTCCTCAAAGTCCAACACTCCATCCTGGTTGGTGTCTCCAGCCTCCACAATCTGACAAATATAAGAAAAAAGCAGTGAAAAAACAGCTCAAGACATTCAGACAGGGACTATCAACTAAAACTGCAACTTAGTGTTCAGCCTTTACTTTTCTCTTGATAAAAAAATCTTTACTAAACATATTAACAACATTAAAGGCCTTCAAGGAATGAATACCACCCACCGCCTTTCATGCAAAAGTTTTAAACTAATATTATCTTGTACTGACAAATACAAATGTTTTGGCCCCTTTGGCCAAACCTCAGGCAAAAATGCATTAATTATAAACAATCTTGTGAAATATTGAGAGACATCCCACCCAGAGAACATGTTGCAGAAGTCCAAAAGAAAAAATCAGTAGGTCTTCTGGATGGGTTCATCTTTAGTGAAACATTTCGTTTCTCCTCCATGAGACTTCTTCAGTCTGACGAGTTTCACGTGAACTCAGCCTTATAAGAACTGCCTCCACATTGACAAAGTCACATGCAAAAGGAAATAGAGCTAATCAAGCCTATTGTTAGTCGATGGCCGTCTTTTGCATGTGACTAACCTGTTTGTCCATGTGGAAGCAGTGCTTATAAGGCTGAGTTCACCTGAAACTCATCAGACTGAAGAAGTCTCTTAGAGGAGAGACGAAACGTTTCACTAAAGAAGAACCATCCAGAGGACCTACTTATTGTTTTTTTTTTCTACCTGGATTACTGAGATGCATCAGGACATGTTGCAGAAGACTCTCAGCTGCTATCACATCAAACCTCAACCTAATATCTACAGTCCTGATGCATCTCAGTAATCCAGGTAAAAAACCAAAAAGAAAAAAAAAATTGTATAGGTCCTCTGGACGGGTTCTTCTCTAATGAAACGTTTCGTCTCTCCTCCAAGAGACTTCTTCAGTCTGAGAGTTTCAGGCAAAATTCAGGCTTTTAAGCCCAGCGTCCAGGTGACTGATACTAACATTACATGGCTATTGTTGACACCTAATTAACACCTATTGTTAACAGGGGGTGGAGTGATACTGGCAATAGCAGCGCTGTAGGAGGGGGACAACTGAAAACAGAGGCCTCCACCTCTGTTTAATGATGGACAGTCTTTTTTTTTTCTTTCTAATATCTACAGAACTGGCTGAATTTAAGCCATTTTTGGCTATCTTGAATTTGATTGACTCCAAATGTTTATCGGTGAAAAATATACATTTAACAATTGCTTTCTGTAAGTC